ACTTTAACCCTCGTTCATACGCAGCAACAATATCAGGAGTACTTTCAAGAAGTTCAATTTTACTAGACCATCTGTCCTCAGATGGTGCCTGAGACTTAAAACGTACCTTGAACTGCTTCTAAGGTCGTCCACGTGCTCCTGTAGAAAAGAACCCATGTTCTATGATTCGATCTACATCATATCTGCCGTCCATAGATGGCGGAATCATAGAGGGTCTGTTCGGAAACTCTGTTCCTTCTACGTAGGGCAACAATTTGGATGCATGAACGACAGGATAGGTTCTGAGATGAGGGGGGATATCAACTCGATAAGACGGTCCCTCTGCATCTCCAATAACTTTGAGAACTTCCCAGGGTCCGAAATAGACAGGTAGCAGTTTTTGAGACACATTTTCTTCCAACGAAAACTCTTTGGACTAAACCCAAACAAAATCACCTTCCTTGAATGTAGATGGTCGGCGATGCTTATGGGTTTGTTCGATCATCTGATCCTGAGCTTTCTTTAGATTATTTTTTACCTTCTTTATGTCTTCTTGAAACAAAACTGCGTATTCTCGTGTCCCTGGAGGTAACCGAAGGAACTGGTTCCGTGTTAGCACGTCAATGGGACGCCTTGGCTTCCACCCCTTGTGCAGTGCATTTGGTGTACGACCCGTAGCGGTATGAACGCTGTTGTTGTATGCACTAGGTATTTTGGGTAAGTTCTCATCCCAATCAATCTGATCAGGTCTCACGTACATGCGCAAGAGTTGTTGGCACAAACGGTTCATTTGCTCACTTTGCCCATTCGTTTCAGGGTGTCGCCCTGATGACATGGTCAAACATGTCCCGTATGCCTCCATCAGATTTTGCCATGGCATACTTGTGAACCGTACATCACGATCAGACACAATCGATAAAGGAAAACCATACTCAGTTACCTATTTCATCTGAAACTTTTGGATCACAAGTTTGGTCTTTGCTTCAGCCGGTAAGGGAATAAACATGGCATATTTAGAAAAGCGATCAACAATCACCATCACTTGACTATTACCGGTGCGACTCTTCACTAGACTCGTGAAGTCCATAGAGATAGACTCACCTGGTTCGCTTGGTATAGGCAATGGCTTGAGAAGTCCCTGAGGGTTCTCATGCGATGGTTTGTTCCTCTGACACACGAGACACGTACGAACATATGTTAGTACATCTTCTTTTAGTCCGTTCCAGTCGAAACGTTCTCTGACTTCAGCGTGTGTTTTCTTGAAACCAAAATGTCCCTCAGTGTCATGACATTCCTCAATTACTATGCTTTTAATTTCTTCTTTATGAGGAATACACAACCATTGCTCAGTTTGGTCCATCAAGAATAACAACCCATCAGACATTCGATAGTTGGGTAGTTGGGAAGGGTCACGTGCAAGGATATCTATAATCAGTTTCCAAATAGGGTCAATATTATATCCTTGGCGAATTCGATCTTTAAGGTCATTCCCAACATCCAAACAAGGGACAATTGCGCGAAAGAAGTTGCTACCTCGGGACAAAGTATCTGCAACGATATTTGACTTACCTTTGATAGTTTTGGGATCAAAGTCAAAGGTGTCAATGAAGGCAGACCATCTTACCAACTTGTCAGAGAGTCTCGGTTGTGTCTTTATCCACTGTAGAGGCGAGTGGTCTAAGTACACAGTGAAATGCCTCCCTAGCAAGTAGTGTCTCCATGTTTCCAACTCACAGACTAAGGCATACAATTCTCATTTGTAAGTTGAATTGGCAACCTTTTCGTCGGCAATTGTGCGGACATAAACTCGATGGGCTTATAGCCCTTGCCGTCATCTTGTTGAAGTACAGCGCCAATTCCATACTGATTTGCGTCAGTTGTAACCATGAAAGGCAAGGAAGGATCAACAATCTTAAGGACAGGGTAGTGAGTTAAAACACACTTCAATTTCCGAAAGGAAGACTCACAATCCTTATCTCACAACCAAATGGTTCCTTTCTTTAGCAATCTTCACATTGGTGCAGCAATCATTGAGAAGTTCCTCACAAACTTCCTATAGTAACTGGCTAAACCAAGGAAAGATCGCAATTAAGTTGTGAATTTTGTTTTCTTCCGGGCTTAGACCTTTTTCGTTTACTATGTGTCCCAAGTACAATACCTCGGATTTAGCAAACTCAGATTTCTTTGGATTGATCTTGAAATTGCCCTCGTGCAGTTTTCCTAGCACCAGGCGAAGGTGCTTCTCATGATCTTCTAGTGTCTTACTGTACGCTAGAATATCATCGAGATAGACGATGACGAACTTGTCTAACCAGTGACGAAAAAGTTCATTCATGGACCTTTGATAGGTCGCGGGGGCATTAGTCAGTCTGAAAGGCATTACCATAAACTCGTAATGGCCATACCTGGTTCGGAACGCAGTCTTATGTTGATCTGTAGGCTCCACCTCGATCTGGTGGTACCCAGACTTCAGATCAATGTTACTGAAATACTTACAGCCCTGCAACTGATCAAGCAAATCGTCAATACGTGGTAGGGGTTCGACATTTTTTACAGTGACGGCATTCAACCCTCTATAGTCAATACAAAGAGGCAGCTCACTTTCCTTTTTGGGCACAAACAAAATAGGAGCACCATAAGGAGAGGAGCTAGGGCGAATCCATCCCTTTTCAGTTAATTCCTGCAGTTGTTTCCTTAATTCTTCAAGTTCCTTAGGAAACATCCTATATATGGGGCCCTTGGGAATCTTACTGCCAGGAATAATCTCAATGGTGTGCTTGATAACACGCTCAGTTGTTCCGGTTGGTTCAATGGATAGCTCTTTATACTCATCCAAGAGTTTCTCAATCGAGGGGGAATAGGAAGTTGAAGTCTCACCAACTTGCTTCACTAAGACCATCATTACTTCCTGTTCCAACTTCTTCTTTGAAACCATGGATCGGAATGTTGGGAATGTTGGGTAACTCATACAACAGAAAGACAGAGTAGAGTCAGAACCAGACTTATGAAACAATTTTATTGGTTTCAATACTGCTTGTGCATCCCTCAGTTGCACTACCTTTTCCTTGAACTTAATTTCTGGGTTGGCTTCCTCGTGCCAATCCATTTCCAGAATTAAGTCAAAAGGTAACTTCTCTTCTATCAGAAAGGAAACCTCGTGTATTATCTTCTTTCCTTCCTTGGTTCGAAATAAGCACTTAACACGATCAACATATCGTGAGACAATAATCGTGCTTCTGTCAGCCAGAATAGATGTGAAAGGTTTCGACAAATTCCTTACCTTCATTCCGAGATGCAACTTGCGGATTGCCTTCTCGAAAATGTAGGATCGCGTAGATCCTGAGTCTAGCAGTGCACATACACGTGTTCGTGCAACCTCTACATCCGCGAGTAGGAGTTCACCCTTAGACTTTGCTTTCTGAGCCCACAGGCTTCGTAGTGCCAGCAACTCGTTACCAAGCTCGTCAAGAGAGTCATCCAGAGAGATAGTACATAAGACAGGTTCAGGGTGTTCCGGATGACGGGCCGAAGAAGAACCATCCTCTGCCATGCGAGTCAAAAGGTTGGAAGGGATCGTAGGCGCCTTACCTTGCTCTTGATCCAAACCTTTAGACTCAGTAGGAGCAGATGCTACTCCTACTGGCTGCTCGCTTTTGGGTAACGAATCTGTGGACACCAGGCTATCACATGCCCTGCAAGTCCACACTTCAGTCACTGCCATAGTTCCTGTGTGATTCCCATCTTTTCCCAGGGCTTTCCGGCCGCAATTCCGGGATGCTCAGCGAACGAGCGTAGTTTCTTCTTCTTAATTCCATTTACTCGTGGCCCTCCCTTGTTGACCACAGCAGCAGTGACTCCCCCTGTCCCGGACTCACTCCCCTCAGTTTCTTGCGGCAACTTCTCTACAGTGTCGTCGACAAATACAACAAGCATATGGTCCTGGCGCTTCTGACGCCACAGGACCCGCTTACCCAAATTTGCTCCTCCTCCTCCTCCACCATACTTCATCACGGAAGCATACGAGCTCTTAACTTGTGAAGTCATTTGCTCTCTTTGGAGAGCTAGATCACGAAACTACCTATAATTATACTTGCCAGATTTTGAGTCTGCCACAAGCTGTCCACGAATAGGCTCGGGCAGAGCGCGGAAATAGATATAGAGGACTTGGTTGTCCTGCAGGTTCAATCCAGGAACCTGCAGCAACCGATCTACTTCCCGAGACAGAGACTCCACAGAGATCCAATGACGTTGGCCTATGGTTGTGAGCTGGTCAAAGGCCTTATCGGTCGTTGTCTTGTCCAGGAAGCGTTCCTTGATCTTAGCAAGGAACTGCTTCAGGTTCATCGTACCATACCACTGCCCAATGTCCTCGAACCCTACGGCATTAGCCTCAGCCAATACCCATTTTTTTGCTTCCCCACCCAAACATGAAAACGCAACCTGAGAATCAGGCTCAACTGGGGACGTCTTACAGTATGTCTGTATCTCGGCAATCCATAACAACAAATTTTCATCTTTTTTGTTGCAGAACGTAAAAGGCATTTTCGGTTTTCCCCCGTTAGACGATTTCCCCTCTTCAGTCTTTTCTTTCGGAACGACAGACTTCATAGCATCACTTATTAATTTCGGTTTCTTTTCTTTCTTGTCTTCCCCTTCAACCTCCTCTTTTGTTACCTGAGTCTTCCCTTTTACAATGTTTGTAACGGTTCTCAGTCCGACAGCAATCTCATCTAACTGGCTCTGATGTCGTTCAATTCTTTCTTCGAGGAAAGAGAGGTAAGTCATGATGTGATATAAAGTGTGTGTCAGATCCCCTTCTTCCTTAACATTTGTTCCAATGACCTGTCTAATTTCTTCAACTTTCTGCTCCCTTCTTGATTCAGGTTCTCTTCTCCGGGTTAACTCTTCTTTCTTCTTCTCTTTGGCAACCAATGTCTCTCGTAGTTGCTGAATGTTAGCATCAATAGTGGCCTCGATTACTTCAGTTCTGACTTCCCCTTTCCTTGTCGTTTCCATGATAGGTTCCAACTGCTTAATTGCAAACTGGTCCAGTGCCTGGCGACACTTGCGTATCATTTTCATGACTTCAGCCCCGGTGTCATGACTGGTGAGTCCCGAATGACTTCCCGTCACTTGAGATACTATATATGGCTAATTTGTGCACGGCAGAGAAAACCGGAGGCAAGAAGGATGGAAGGATCAAGGCTTAGGCCTGGGCGCTAGGAAACCTAGAAGCTGTCCGAAGTCGTCGGGACGTATGGACTAAGAAGAAAATCGACGGAACGGGGAGTGGCGGAGGCACGCAAGAAGGTGGCGAAGGCGACCCTTCCCCCGAAACGGTGAAGGACCGCCAAGAAAAGTAGTGGCAAAGGATGCGAGCTGCGAAGAGAGAAAAGAAGCAAGGGAAATGGGTGAATGATACGTAAGGCGCCGACACGAGAAAACGTAGCCGGGCCAAGTAGGGCACCAGGACGCGGCAGCAAGGGGGTCATGGGCCAAGTAAGGACTCATGCCCGGCGGGACAAAGTGTCGGGGACCGCGTGAGATCAAGAGAAAATGCGGTACTAGCGGGGCAAAGTGTCGGGGACCACGTGAGACCAAGAGAAAATGTGGCACCCATAGGGCGAGTGCCGGGGGCCGCATGGGGCCAAGCAAAGATGCAGCATTTGTGGGACCGGCGTCGGGGACCACGTGAGGCTAGACAAAAATGCGGTGTCGGTGGGACAAAGTGTCGGGGACCACACAGGACTAGATAGAAACGTGGTACCAATGGAACTAAGTGCCGGGGACCACAAGCAACTAGGCAAAAATGCGGTACCGGTGGGACAAAGTGCCGGGGGCCGCACGGGACTGGGACTAGTGTCGGGAACTAGTGTTGGGGACTAGTACGGGACAAGTGGCGGAGACTGTGACGTTCCAAGGAAAAACTGTGGCACGACATGTGGTGCAAAAAAAAATAAAGCAAGTTGCACCGTCAAGATCGAAGATTTTGACGACAAAAAATATTAGCATCACCAGTGCAAGCACTAGTGGGAGCAAGCGGGAGGGCCAAAAGAAAAATAAAAAGTAAAGAGAACTAGTGCTAGAGGCATGGGAGCAATCCGAAAAATCTCGGATTAGCCTCCCCCAAGAAAATGCGGCCAAAAAAGGGCCAACGTGAGAAAAATAGGCTCCCGAAAAAAAATCGGTGCAAGGGGACCCACCGTTTGGGAGAGAGGAGGACTAACGGTGCCTCCCAAGGACATGGAAGGGCCACAACTGCAGTCCGAAAAATAACGGACTGGCCTTTGGGCATAGGAAGGGCCAAAACTAAGAGGGAAAGGCAAAAAAAGGGCCTTAACGATTAGTTGACACTTAGCATGCAAAAAGAAAAAGAAGAAAAGAAAAAGAAAATGTGGGAGAATAAGACAAGGAGAGTGAGAGGGAGTGAGTGAGTTGGCCGTCAGTAGGGACTGCAGCAAGTAAGGATTGCCAAGTCCCAACTGTCCAAGGAAGGAGGAAAAAGAAAAGAAAAGAAAAGAAAATTGAGAAAAGGGCCTTAACGGCTAGTTGACACTTGGCATGCACAAATAAARAGAAAAGAAAAAGAAAATGGGAGGTGAGGGAGGATGAGTGAGTTGGCCGTCAGTTGGGACTGCAGCAAGTAGGGACTGCCAAGTCCCAACTGTCCACAAGTGGAGGGAAAAGAAAAGAAAAGAAAAAGTAAAAGGGAGAAAGTCAAAAGGGCACCAACGGACGAAAACGGCCACCTGGGGGAGGGATTTTGGACCAGATTCACTTGGGCAATGTGGCGGTTACAAAGGACCTTGATTTTCTTTAATTTATGCTTAGAAAATTAAAGGAAATCAAGACCCTGTGCAACCGAAAAATAACAGATTGCAAAGGGGAGGCCAAAAACAAGTTTTGAGTGCACCGGGAGCCAAAATTGAGACTGGATGCACTTGGGAAGTGGCCGCCTGATTTCTTTTGGTAGGGGGCTAGTTGAGGGACATTGGGGCAAGGAAAACTGCCCCTAGTGCAGTCCGAGTTGCAACGGGCTGCATGGGGAGGGGCAAACTTAAGTTTTTGGGGCTTCGGGAACCGAAAGTGAGCCCGGACGCCTTAGGAAAATTAACGCCTTATTTTCCTTGGGCATGGGGCATGAAGTGGGGATGTGGGGCTAACAGATTGGCCATGGATGCAGTCCGAGGAATTACGAACTGCATGTGGATGGCCGGGCCAAGGGAAAATGGGCCACGGCATGCCGAAAAGCTAAGGAAATAGCGCCGTGGCTCTAGGGGAGTGTAACGACAAAACGACAACGGCATGGCGGGGGCCCGTGGGCGGGAAATTATCGACGGCACTTGGGACACATGAGAAGGATAAAACGGTACTGACGGGGACACGGGAAGTCCCAAATAAAAATTGGGCATCAACCGGGATGACGCCGGGGGCCAAAGGGACCCAAACAAAAATTGTCGAAAATTGGGCCTTGTTGGCGGCACCGCCGGCGGAACCAAAAAAAAAAAAAAAAAGGAACTAGTACGGAAAGCGGCGGGGACTTGAGGTGTCCCAAGGGGGAGACCGCTAACCAATGTGAGGAATGGCTGTGAGAAGCAAACGGCACCGTCGAGATTAAGGATCTCGACGGTGGAAAAATATTAGCACCACTAGTGCGGACACCAGTGGGGCTAAAAAACGGGAGTGAGAAGCAAAAAAAAATAATAAGGGGAGGGTGGCCCAGCAGCCCGGGGTGTTGTGGACTAGCTAGGCATGAGAAAACAAGAGCCCAAGGGGCTCCAATCAAGAAACGGGCTAGCCAAGAAAAATTGGAGCCAAGGGTGTAATGAGCGTGAGGCTGAGGGTGAGCCGAGGGAGAGGAGAGAGAGGGAGAGAGTGAGAGCACACACACACACTCACTCACTCGACACGACCCACTCGGACTGAGGATCGGACGCAGACACAGTGGCAAGGCACAAAGTCGAAGTCTTGGATTCCGAATGCCGAAACAGCAAGTCACACTGAGTACGAGTACAGCAGCAGGGAACTGGTACGAGACCGGTCCCCGTACCGTACGAGGAGCCGGCATAAGTACCGGTGACACGTACGGTACCAGGGGCATTTCTGCAAAGGCCCCGAGGGCAGAACTGAAAAATACAGTATTTGAAAGTGGCGCCCGAATTGCAGCATGGCGCCAGTTGTCCAAAATCCTACGGTACCAAAGGAGGGGTTTGGAAAAAGGGTGCCAGGCCGAAAATGGGATGCAACCGAAACAACAAAAGATAGACCAGGGATCAAGTCCTGGCGGAGTCCGTAACACTATCCCCTCCCTCTAGAAGGCAACGTCCCGGCTGCCAAAAATCATGAAGCAATGCTGAAATCTGTGAAGGATGGGACGGGGCCGATCACTGGTTAACAAGTCGAAAGGGAAGAGGGGTATAATGTGGGTGGCATGGGCTGCGGGAGTAAGAGGGAACAGGGTTTGGTACCGGTGAACAGGGTTGTCCTACTGATGAACTAGGGGGGGTTGCAAGGAACAGGGTAGTCCTACAAATGAACTAAAGGGAAGATAGGGAGCAGGGTTGTCCTACTGATGAACTAGGGGGGGTTGCAAGGAACAGGGTAGTCCTACAAATGAACTAAAGGGAAGATAGGGAGCAGGGCTGTCCTACTGATGAACTAAGGGGACTGCATGGTTTGCTATAGGTTAAGGGGGAACAGAGTTCAGGGAACAGGGAACTTCTATTGATGTTCTACTGGGTAAGGGAAACAATGGTCAGGGGAACAGGGGATGTCTATTGATGTTCTAGTGGGTACGGGGAACAATGGTTAGGGAAACAGGGATCTGCTAATGATGTTCTACAGGGTTGTCAAAGTCAGGAAAAATAAAAATGAAAATTT